ACGACACACTCTATGTATATCGATTTAATCATGAGATGAAATCTTCTAAATCTAGGCGATAATGAACGCGCACGTCCTCTCACTCGCTCGTGTCACACGAGATAAGCGAGGAGAATGCAGCTTCGCCTTGTGTGAAGCATGATCAAATTTGCACCGTTAAATTGCACGCTCGAGCAAATTGCGAAATACGGCTTAATAACGTATGTCATGGATAGACAGATCGGGAGACAAGGAAGTTACCTTTGTTCAGTTTCCGCTGTAGCACCCTCGACAAATGTCACTTTGTATCGACAATGCTTGTAACTTGATTTCGATTTTTCGCGTCGCTACCGACGAAACAACCGGCGTCCAATTACCAATAACACAAATGAAGGACTGCGAAGCGAAGGAAACGCAGCGGCAGGCGTGCACGTCGACGTCCTTTTGTGATTTATGCAGACTCGCTTTGCGAGAAAAATCACGGTGCTCGCGCGCTGAATACGATATCTCGGCGACAAGCATAAACGCGTTTTCACGTTTTCGTTCGTCGGGCATTTCCGCGACGCTCGCGAGATCATAAAGAATTCAGAAGGCGAGCTACCAAGTATCGGCTAACTCGCGATAAGAGCGCGGGAGCCATCGCGACGAACTTTTTACGATCCGCTTTAACTCGTAAAGTCGACGCCAGTCGTGCGTTACCGCGATTAACTCTCTCTCTCTCTGCCTCTCTCTCTCTCTCTTTCTCTTTTTCTCTCTTTTTCTCACTCCTCCTTTACGAAGAAACCCTAAACGCATCGCGGCCACTCTGAAACACTCGGTAATTCTCCATCTCTCGATCAAACGTTAAACGATCTCTGGATATCAAGGCTGCTTGCTCGCTCGCTGAAGAGAAAAAAATAAGCAAAAATTGCGAAACTTCTGTCGACCAGAAATGGAAGAAGTTTGCCAGGAAGATCGACATTCCGCAGGAAAATATTTCTCGCGGAGAAGTAGATATAGGTAGATAAGTTTATTTAGTAGCAGCATATTATTTAGATTCCGAAGATAAAGTTTGCTAAGAATTATTAACGGAAATTATGTCAGCTATATAAGAGGAAGCGAACAAATAATAATCTTTAATAATGATAATATGGTTAAAGCTGAAGAAGTATTTAAGTAATTAATAATATGAAGAATGCACAAAGTATTCGAAATCGATTTGAGAAAAGAGAAGGTGGTAATATGAAACGATGTTGATTTTTTAAATAACTGTTGCAATCTGTTAGTAATTGAGATAAACATGATCATTTGGATTCTTGTCGACCACGTTGTTTATAATGTTAAAAGAAGTCGCTTTGTTTCCTTCGTGTAAAAACTTTTCACAAGGTAAGATCCAACAATTTTTTCCCGTCTTAATAGATAAATCTAACATAGTAGCTAGTGTGTCGATTATAGAAATAAGATTAAGCTTCAAAATCATTAAGTTAGTTACTTAAAAATATTTTTCCTACTTTGAGATTCATTGGGTAGTTTGGAAAATAATGATGTGTGTTAATATGGAACAAAGTGTTCTATATAATGACACGTCTTATATAACCTCGTTTTATACAGTAAGTGTAAAAGTGATGTTTTTATATACGACTTCTGTTCAGAAGGCTAGAAGTTAATTTGAGTTATATAGTAAGCTGATCATTTGAATTATCAACTTAATTTTCTTAATTTTTATAGAGAATTTTTTATTTTTGCTTTTAACTTATAGTTTTTCTGTTTAAAAGAATTTAATAAAAAGTTTCTTTAACAACCAACAACTTTATCATAATAAAAAGAAACTTATTTATTTTATGTGATACCATTTTTATATATTATTATTCCTTTTTCTAAGATTCTAATATTCGCAGTAAAAAATTGGTACTCTTCGAAGAGTTCATTTTCTTTTCTAATGAATATAAACACACATTATAAGAGAAATATTTGCTAACATTTCATATTGATGCAATTATCGCATTTAATATTGGACTTTTTATCTAAAACAAAAAAGTAGTTTATATTCCTATCTTCATCGTTAAAAATTAAACTATAAATTAAAATTAAAGTAAAAGTTGATTTGAAACAGAATCTAATGATATATCGATTGAAATTATGCTAGAGGCTGTTTATTACAACAAAATATGCTCGTTTTATGTAATACCGCTTTATGTAAGATGACAATTGGCTTGCAACATGATTGCGAGACTAAAATATCCAAGATCGGAAATCAGTGGTTTGCCAGATATGCCAAGCACATCGATTTATTGTACTATGCAAAACGAAGTCACATTTTCCTACTACCTATCGTAAACTCCGCGTAAACAAATCCGCGAATTATACATTTTACGGTGTAACATGCAGATGCAAATGGAGAAGCAAAACATTACGATGCGATGCGCTATAAATTTACGAGGTCGTAAATCTCATATTATGTCTGAACATGTTCTTAGCATCGATCAAACTGAAGAATTCTCGTCGTTGTGTTTCTCTTTTTGTCCCGTGCGTAAATTTATTTGGCTACCGATCATCTCGTGATGACAATTTTAACCTTAGATAAAATCTGCAGGAAATAAAATATTTAAAATTTGTGTGACTCCGTTGGAAAATTTTTATTTAATTACTACACTAAATAATAATTAAGAGTTTTTCCCGTATTTTTATGATAATGTTGAACAGCGGAAAACGAAGTTAAAATATAAAATGTAACAATTAACATTATTATCACAGATTGCATGTTGCATAAAGTTATATTATTTATATATGAATTGCAGCGAATTTAAAAAGAAACTTTGAACAAAAATAATAGTAAAAAAGTAAGGCTTTGGAGAGTAAAATCAGTTAAATTTAATTTACATAATTTCTAAAATCTATAACGACGAATATTGTTTCGCAGACTGCATTCCGATATTAACTGCCAATACTAAAAATATATATAAGTACTATATATAATATGAATTATAGATATTCGGTGAATATTGGAACATAGGCATAATAGATGAATGCGAGTCGTGGTTACATTTCGTGTTATAACCGCATGTGATATTTCGAATTTTGAGGAAAGCGCTGAAATTGGCCGAACACGAAGAAAAAATTTTGGTTATATTAGAAATAAGGTTAACAGAAGAATTTTCTATTCAGTTTTATTTAAACTTACTTTTGACAAATATATCATAACTCAGCAGTTAATTGTCGAAATATATTAGTACAATCATTGGGTTAACGTGTCAGTTTGATGATATTATTACATATTAAAATATATTTATTTCGATAACGTACCATCAGAAAAGAAACGTCAAGTGAAATAAACAATCGCCGAGTAGGTCGCTGTTACATTTGACGTTTGAGAAGCAGCCAAGCGGTCGGTCTTTCGCGTCTATCTAAGTCACACTGGATCCCAAAGTGGGATCCACTTCCGACAACTAGCAATATACTTGCAACTTGAAACAGCAACTCACAACCCCTAACTGTCGCCACTCTCTTCACATTGGAGTCTATCTTACATCCGAAGAAACAATTACGAGCGAAATATATTCGTAAATAATAAGATTAATATACGGAGACAAAATAGGAACAAACAAATTTCAATGTAAAACAAAGAAATATAAAATATCTTTAATTATGTTTCAACTCTCCGTGTAAAATTATATTTTTTTGCACACACAATACAGTCTGGATCTGTCAGGCAACTTTAAACTATAATAATTTTGTTGAAAATCAATATTACTGAACACATTTTCTTGCGAAGATGCAGAAAAATCTCACCTTGGTGAAAATAATGTCTAATAACACTTTACGTAAACTTATTTTTACACGAAGAAGAGCTTCAGAACTTTTCAGAATAAAAGAGGAAAAGTATTATTAAATATTTGATACTCTTTCTTACTTTTTCATTTCCGGCAGAGCAGTTACATGATAGTAATGCAATAAAATAAAAATCTGCAAAAAAATTTGCACTATTTTCAAATTTTCCCAGGTCCTTTACAAAAGAGTTCATGAACTCTTAATCAAATATAAAACCCTAAATTTCTTTTTTTTTTTAATTACAAAGTTATGATTTTTTGACGAAGTAGCAGTTTTAATAAAAATTCTTGTTAAAAAAAATATTAAAGATAAATAAATCATATATAACTAAATATAAAAATAAATAAATATAAAAATTATAATAAATATAATAAATATAAAAATATATAATATAACTAAATTTTTAAATTAATTTTATAATTTATTAGTTGATACTTGAAAAAAGCCTGTATTTTTTCCAGAACATTTTATTCAACAATTTTAAGTTAACGAAAAAATGCATTGTATATGAGCATTGTACATCCCCTCCCCTTTATTCATTATTAAGATGTCAAAAATACTTATTGAACGTGAGAGTTAAAAATAAAAATAATAGCTGTTTCACATTTTGCGATATTGTGTATATAGTTTTATACATGTCTCTTTCAATTCTGTTTCAAATTAACAGTAACACTTGGACAATGGAATAAGTGCATGTAGACGTGATTTTCTTTTATAAATGATAATTTTATAAGTAGCCTCTTTAACCTTTTGTGTACAATCATATATTTTTTTAAACGGAGTGTAAAATTTAGGTTTGTCAGAATTAGGCAAATTTGAGTTATCCAAAAACTTTGTTGAAAATCGATATTTCTGAATACATTTCCTTATGGAGATACAGAAAAATCTCAGCTATAAGATAGTATCAAGCAAAATCAAAATTTGCAAACAGATTTATTTCGAAATGTTCTCGGACCTTCTATGAATGTTGATGAGCGATCGAATATTCGTTCGGGTCTTACAGACTCGACGCGGAGGGTCAACAATCATTTAAATGACACTTTACCCAAACAAGCAACAACAAATTTATTTAAATTTATCTATCTACCGACTTTTCAAGTAAATCGTACTTTTTGTAAAAGTTCCTTAAAATCGATTAACAATAACGTTCCGTACAGCAATAACAACAATAACATACATACATACACATCATAAGAACTGTAAGAATTTTTCTCTTATATCGGTTTATTAGCCGGCCAGTCCGTGTCGCTGTAATTGAGACAACCGAACTCCTTTATTTCCGCTCGCTCAGCCTCGATCTCTTTCATGTACGGATTAAGGTATCGGTATTCTAAATCCTGCTCAAACGTGACCCATTTCTCCTTAGGCAGGAATATCTTCAGAAAATTCAGTTGCGCAGCGCGTATGATCCTGCGAAGCATGCAAAATTGCTACGTGCCTTCGTTCGAGGAATGCCAGAGTGACTTAACTGAAAAATCGACGGTGCAGCCGGAACACAGTCGGTGCTCGTTATATAAAAAGAAAGAGGGGGTTTCTCTTTTACGCTAGCTCGGAGACGGTGACGACCTACGGAAATGATCTTAGAGGGAAAGAAGCGCGAGTACCGGAAGTGGAATGACTCGTCGTCGCGCAAACTACACCGAAAGTTTTCCCTGCAATACGAGCTCTACAAACTGGATTTCAAATTAAGATCTTGTTAAGTGAATTTAGCGCTTAATAAGAGTAGCGCCCTGGCAGTTCTTTTAAGACCGATGCGAGTCATTGATGCATCCAACGCTACGTAGTTTCGTATTTCAAGTGGATCTCAAAGAATCTCAATACTTCGCGTATACACTTCTAAAGTACGGAGGAACTTTATATCAATCGATTGAAAAAGCGAACGTTGACGAAATGCTTATCTTGTGCTAAAATTACAATGTCCAATGTTAAGCCCCAATTATTAAGATAAAGTTGAACATGATTACGACACGAATTGCTTTAGATTGCAAAAGAGAGAAGTCGCTTTTGTATTTTTGAACGTATATTAGTTTTTCCATATTTGATTAAAGTAACTGTATTGTTAGCGTATTTTCAGTGATGCATCAAGGAAGCCAATCATAAATTTATCATTTATAACAAAAAATCACGTTTACATGCACTTATTCCATTGTCCAAATATTACTGTTAATTTGAAACAGAATTGATATATACAATATCGCAAAATGCGAAAAAGCTATTATTTTTATTTTTCCAATAAGTGCTTTATTTATGCATCAGTTTATCTAATAATAATAAAAGATATACAATTTCAATATATATATATATGTTGAAATTGTATATAATATATATATATATATATATATATATATATATATATATATATGTAGGTATATATATATATATATATATATATATATATATATATATATATATATATATGTAGGTATGCGTATATATATATATATATATATATATATATATATATATATATATGTATGTATGTATGTATATATATATACATATATATATTTTTTAAATTATATTTGTATATATGTACGTATGTATATGTGTGTGTACTTGTAGTATTACACTATACATTATGCATTTTCCACCGTTTTATAAAACAAAACGATCAATAATTCTGAAATTTGTGTTAATGTATATTTTTAATTTTAATATCATAGTAACTTCTCATCTAAATTTCACATTATTTTACAAGATATTAGGAATGGAAATTAAAAATAGAATGCTAGCTTTAAAAAATACCTATAAAAAATCTCAACTTTAGTTGCAAATTTCAGCTCTTGAATAGTCAATTTTTTTCTAATTTCACGAGTAGTTTAATAATATGTCATTATATATTTAGCGCAAGTTTCATCAAAATCTCATCAAACTCGTTTCATGATACAACTACCTTAACTTCACGTATGATTCACTTTACTTAACAAGACCTTAATTGTAATTATATTCGTTGTTTTGTCTTATCCTATGAAACTGTGTGTGTATATTTTCTTGCGAATCCCGTACAATTCCGCTTTCTATATTTTCATCGGAGATTCACATTAAGCTTCACCTCAAAAAATATAAATTCATCCTTAGCGAAATCCTCTTATGTATGACTTCAAGAAGATTCTTTTAAAACTAAAAGGGAAATATTCTACACCCAAAGAAAGAACTTTACTTGCAAGGTGCTTTCCCTGTAATTCCATATTCTAAAAGAAAACTTTTGCTAAAGGAATATATCTTTCTAATAAAGAATAATACTGCTTAGAATATTTACCTTTCGATTTTAGATGAATCTTCTTGAGGTTGTACATAAGAGAATTTCGCTAAAGATAAGATTATATCTTTTTGGATGCTGCATATTACTAAAGTATTACTTGGATATTACCTGAAATTCCTGGCATCTACTATGTCCTTTGGTAATCGACGCAAAGCTTCGCGTACAATAGGATTAGCGTAATTTATCACATCGTGCGTGTAAAGCCCGTATTTGTTATATCCCGACAACTCGAACGCTACTTTCCTCAGAGTAAACATCGTTATTTTATTATTTTTGCCTTTGCAACCATGTGGATTCTGTGCGGTAGCTCGCCTTGATTTAAAATTTCTCAGCAATACCCAAGGAAATTTCGTGCGGGAAGACATCCTTGTGTCAAAACGCTAACCTCCCAATGATAATTCGCTATTCATCCTTCAATATAAATTGAAATGAAAACTACACGTTTGTCGATTGTTTCAATCTTATAAGTGTAGATCTGTATTCATCCTACTTTAAGGGGATGCCGGATATGCAAAAAAACATTGACTTTTTTCTGCAAAGTTTACGTCTAGTTGCTTGCACGGAATTACAAGCGCTTTTACACAACAAAAGTACACGCAAAAATAAATTGGAGCATTGCTCAATATGTAACAAAAACGAAAAAAATTTATAAAAATTTAAATTTTGAGCTGTCAGTTAGTGCAATATTTGCTTAATACGAACATTCTGCAGGTTGTACATACTGAAACTGTGAATGCTCCAATCAGAAAAAATTCAAAGATCACTACTACACTTTCAAAATTTAGTTTTGATGCTAAAAAAGATACGAAAAGTTTGCAGAAAAGTTTATGAGGACATGCGGTTAGGTATTCCGACAATTATGATAAAGTAGAGCGAAAAATTAGTTCACAAATATTTTTTGAGATGGCACCGTAATCTTATCGCACATTTCACAACGTCGGAATATTCAGATTATATATATATATATATATATATATATATAGTTTTCTCAGAACAATATATAGTTTTCTCCCACGCAACTGTTTATCGCGATGTCGCGGTATTTTATATATATATATATATATATATATATATATATATATATATATATATATATATATA